AGAGTGAAGATCAAGACATCAACTCCATGCAAACCTAAAAACTATTTTCCCTTTTTAGTTGTTTTGCTACCAGATCTTCCCTGCCTCCATCATCCTCTTGACTCTCCTTATTATGATACTGAACATGACTCGGGGTCCTTCCAGAACCGATATTTCCTTGAGTTCCTTTACAAGTTTAGGATGCTGCACGGATCTTGCTTGCAATACTTGGGTTCCATTCACACAAAATGTAACCTGTTTACTGAAGTCAACTATCTTTGTTGTACGTTCTACCACAAGTTCTTGTTGTTGGCATCTCAGGAATGACTCCGTAAACCTACCCTGCTCTATTGTCACCACTTTGAAAATGTTCCCATCACACTACATCTCTTGGTACCATCTCTCTCCTATCAGAAATGAGTACACCCTGCCTCCTTATGGGTCCTGCGGTATCCCTCTTCCCATGAAGAGGAGAAGAAAACAGAAGGAGAATCATCTCCTCAACCTCATGGCTCCGTGTTCGCTTCCTTAGCATCCTCAGTTCTGTCTAGATGTTAAATTTCTATCGCGAAGGCCCCGTAACTTCATCCAGTAGACCTGCCTTTACAATCACTGGATCAAGTTTCAATCCAGTAGGATGGCGCCAGTTGGTGGGATTCAATATTTTTTTTTACTACCGGTTCTGTGGGTGTGGCTTGTTGGGCGTGGCAGGGGAAGGATATTGTAAAATCTCCAGCCAGAGGTGATATTTGCTGGTTCTCCGAACTACTCAAATTTTTCTGCTACCGGTTCTCCAGAGCTGATCAGAACCTGCTGAATTCGCCACCTCTGGATGGCGCCAACTGTATAAAGCAATTCATCAGTGGAACAACTTGCTTTCAGAGGTTGTAAAGGCTCCAACACTGGAAGTATTTAAAAAGATGTTGGATGACCATTTGTCTGAAGTGGTGTAGGGTTTCCTGCCTGGGCAGGGGGGGGGTTGGACTAGAAGACCTCCAATGTCCCTTCTAACTCTGTTATTCTATTCTACTCTACCTGTATAGGTACAGAGAGGTGAAATATGGCTTAGTGCCATAATTGTGAAAGGGATCGTGGAGTGAATGAACTAACGGCCCCAAAAAAACAACGCAATCCTAGGCTGCGTTAATAGATAAAATCAAGATCATGTGAAGAGTTAGTACTGCTTTGTAAAGCCTTGGTAAGACCACACTTGGAATATTGCATCCAGATCGGTCACCACAATGTAAAAAAAAAAAAGATGTTGAGATTCTAGAAAGAGTGCAAAGAAGAACTACCAAGATAATTAGGGAAATGGAGGCTAAAACATACGAAGAACAATTGCAGGAATTGGGAATTGCAGGAATTTTTCATGAAAAGAAGGACTAGGGGTGACATGATGGAATTTAATGGCTGAGAGTAATGGGGTATTTACATTTTTAAATTGTACAGAGATTATTGTATGGTCTGTTGTGTTTAATTTTATTTTTCTTTCAATGGTGTTGTCCAGTTTTACTTGTGGAAGAGCACCTCATTTCGTTGCACCCGCTTGCGAGTGTAATGACAAATAAATACTTATGTCTTATGTCTTCCAATATCTAAGAGGCTGCCCCAAAGAAGAGGGGGTCCATATATTCTCCAAAGCCCCAGAAGGCAGGACAAGAAGCAATGGGTGGAAACTCATCAATGAGAGAAGCAACCAGGAATTAAGGAGAAACTTCCAAAACAGTGAAGACAATTATTCAGCAGAATGCCTGGCCTTCAGAAGCTGTGAATGCTCCAACACTGGAGGTTTTTAAGAAGAAGCTGGACAGCCATTTGTCTGGAAGAGTAGAGGGTCTCCTGCTTCAGAACGGGGCTGGACTACATGATCTCTAGGGTCCCTTCCAAAAGTATTGCTCTCAGAGTTTTCTCAGACAGACAAGGAAAAAAAATATCTGGTACCAGCCACCCAGGTTATTGCAAACATCGGTTTCTTGAAACGTTGATTGAATTAAGAGATTTCTGTTCTTCTACCCCAGCAACGTGATTTCACGATAGAAATGCAAATTATAAAACGACAACAACAGGAAATGCTCTGGTCCCTTCGTGTGTCAATTCTAGAGTTGAGATGCAGAGATCCGGGGGGGAGAATAGACCTGAAAGGGACCTTGGAGGTCTTCTAGCCTAGCCCCCTGCTCAAGCAGGAGAACCTATCCCATCTCAGACATGTGACTATCCAGTCTCTTCTTGAAAACCTCCAGGAATGAAACACCTGCAACTTCTGGTGGCAAGCAGTTCCACTGGTTAATTGTCCTGTTAGGAAGTTTCTCCTCAATTCCAAGTTGCGTCTCTCCTTAATTAATTTCCATCCATTGTTTCTTGTCCTGCTTCCTCTTTCTCACCCACAGGTTTTTCTGATGTGGCACAGATTTGGGTGTGCTGCCCTCAACACCAAAAGCAGCCTGATTTCCCCCCCCCTCCAAGGGTGGGTGGTTTCCAATGGGGGAAGAGGACCCCCTTCTGCACACACCCCGTAGACAAACCACCAAAGGTGGGTGCCACGTGGCCTTTGTCCCTGCTGCGTCAGGCAACCTGCCCCACAACACAAGCTGAGCTGGTGCCAGAGGGAGAAAGTGCGCAAACAGTGTGCCTTCTGACACACAATGGGGACGGGGAGCACAGGGCCGTATCCTGTTATCAGTATCTGGGATCTGCTCTGAGCCAAAGATCACGTAACCAGAAGGAAACCAAGGTCAGCAAATCCCGGGCTCTGAGAAAGATCTTCTGCAGAGAATAAATAACAGAACAACAGAGCTTAATTTCACCTTTTTTTTTTGTTATGCTAATGGAGCTTCCCTTTCTCCATCTAGGACCGGGAGACAGGAAGACGCAGCAGAGGGGTGAAAGAGCCACATGCGGCTACGGAGCTGCGAGTTGCCAACACCCAATCTAGGTCATCCTCTTTGCTTTCTCCTTGAAACTGGACGTGATTATGGATAGCTCAAGAATTAACCCTTGAGAGTTAATGATACTGTATGGATTTTGTATAGAATAGAATGGAATGGAATGTAATAGAATAGAATGTAATAGAATAGAATAGAATAGAATAGAATAGAATAGAATAGAATAGAATAGAATAGATATTGGAAAGAATAGAGAATAGAATAGAATAGAATAGAATAGAATAGAATAGAATAGAATAGAATAGAATAGAATAGAATAGAATATAGAATAGAATAGAATAGAATGGAATAGAATAGAATAGAATAGAATTCTTTATTGGCCGAGTGTGATGGGACACACAAGGGATTTGTCTTGGTACGATACTTATAATACTTGAATTCCATTCACATGAAACATAAGCCGGGTTTGTTTCTACGGGGACTCCCCATCATGCAGGACTGCTGTTCTATGAAAGTGGGGGGCTCATGCAAAGGTTGGGGGGCCTTTTGTCTGAAAGAGGTCCAGGTCTTCTCCATCCTGGATGGTGAAGCCCATCAAGTGGACATGCCATCCAGACAAAGCTCAGAAATCTAACTTCATCATGTTTCTATGGAGATTCTCAGTCTTTCAGATCATGATTGCCCCAAATAGGCTTTTTTCAAGAGGCAACTGGACTTTCTTGGTTTTTCTTTGAAGATGTTTCACTTCTCATCCCAGAAGCTTCTTCAGCTCTGACTAGGATGGTGGGGAAGGGAAGGATTTATATTCCTTGAAGAAGCTTCTTGGAGAAGCGAAACATCTTCAGAGAAAAACAAGAATGTCTAGTTGCACCTTTGGGATAACCTGGGTTCTGAATTAACCCATTGTCTCTGTTCACAAGATACATTAAACCCTAAACCAACCAACAGGCCATATTTATCTGGTGCATTCGTCCCCCAGGCTTTAGCTGACCTAATTAAGCCTGTTGTGAAAACCCACCGTAGGCTCATGTTGATGCCATTTCAGGAAGGACCTCAAAACCCCACTATCTTCATCATTTGAATTGAATAACAGAGTTGGAAGGGACCTTGGAGGTCTTCTAGTCTAACCCCCTGCCTAGGCAGAAAACCCTACACCACTTCAGACAAATGGTGATCCAATCTCTTCTTAAAAACTCCCAGTCTTGGAGCATTGACAACCTCTGGAGGCAAATTGTTCCCCCGATGGTTCTGTCAGGAAATTCCTCCTTAGTTCTAAGTTGCTTCTTTTCTTTAATTAAGTTTCCATCCGTTGCTTCTTATTCTTCATTCTGATGCTTTGGAGAAGAGCTTGACTCCCTCTTCTTTGGGGCAACCCCTGAGATTTTGGGACGCTGCTATCCTGTCTCCCCTGGTCCTTCTTTTCATTAGACTAGATATATCCAATTCCTGCAACTGTTCTTCAGATGTTTTAGCCTCCGCCCCGCTAATCCTCATGGTTGCTCTTCTCTGCACTCTTTCTAGAGTCTCAACATCTTTTTTTACATCATGGTGACCAAAACTGGATGCCAGATTCCAAGTGTGGCCTTACCAAGGCCTTATAAAGCGGTATTAACCCTTCACGTGATCTTGATTCTACTACTCTGTTGATGTTGCCTAGAAATGTGTTGGCTTTTTTGGCAGCTACTGCACACCGCTTGCTCATATTTAAATGGTTGTCCACTAGGACTCTTACAGTTACTACTATTGAGCAAGGTCTTGGAAACATCTCACCACAACTTTCAGTATCATCTCTACTCCCATCAGAAATGACCAGACATTGTCTCCTTATGCCCAGTTCTCAAGAGGCACTACTTCCTGACATAAAGCACTGTGATCCGATCTAGCAGATCTGCTTTTAGGATCATCCGATCAAATTTCAGCCCATTGTCTATTGTTCCATCCACAGCCTGGCTCTGTGGACAGGAGTCCCTCCAAAACCCCGTAATGTCCTGAGGAACATCAAGAGGTGCAAATCCAAAGCAAACCCAAGAAATGCAGAAGAAATTGGAATATTTTATTTGATAAACATAGACAGAATCTCCCTAAGTCCCTAGTGAGCTGCTACTATAGAGAGTAGGTCACCGCGGAGTAGATGTTTCCCGGGCAGGGAAGGAAAGAGATTCCCTCAACCATCCGTGTTCCTGGAAGCACCAAATTTCAATAAAGATATTCATCGATTGCATAAATTTGTGTTCTTCTTCCCAATTAACCACACCTTAAAATGGTTTACCAAAAAAAATGTGAATTATGAAGAGGCCTTTGAACAAGGCTGCCTTTATCTTCTCGGTTGGTGTGTGAATTTGGTCAATTTTGTTCCAAGGAATAGATTCAACATCTGAATGAGCAAAAAGGGGAATGTGTTGACCTGGGAGACCTCCACACCTTCCCTTTTTACATGTTCTTGGGCGCCTCCCTGTAACGTCTTATTCGCTCCGCCATCTCATTTTCATCGAAAGCTTCTATCTTCACGTGGAAGAGCAGCACGTTCTGCGAAGATTGGAAAATTGACAGCCATTACTTCTTATTTGCACGCACAAACGCCTCTCACTTTCTTGCACTCTTACACACAGCTGGTTGTCCTCCTTGCACGCCCAAAACATTGGCTACCTTGGGACCACGAAATGGGTAGACCAAAGAGGCGCCTACACTTTTGCATTGAAAGAAGAGAACCTTTGTAGCATGGGGTTGAACTGGCTCCTTGGTGCTCTCTAAGCTCGGGGTCCTTTGGTGGTCTCTGAGTAGTTTTCTTGCAGACGTTTCTTAGCCCAATTAGGAAACATCACCAATCCTACAAAGGAGTGGAATTTACAGAGAGGGGGAGGGGGTGGCTGTGGGGTCCTTGGCGGTCTCCGTGTCAGGATTCCGGCAGTTATCCCAATTAAATCATGACCCTTGAGCCACACTCCCAAAACTAAAAAGGATTTATTAGAAGTTAACATTCTATGTCTGGCATTAGCCTGGGCGTAGCCGACTCTGAGATACGTAATTCACTGTCACCCTTGATCCTGCTTTCCCCGCCAACCCTCTGGGTGTATCATCCAACGAAACACGTCCATAGCCCAGAGTCATCAATCATGCTCTCCAATTAGATGTTTGCATAGCAGAAGCTTCGGTCATCTAATCAGTCTCTGAAGAAAATATGAATGGAATGTACTTTCGATTCCACAGTGTTGCCTGCTCTCTGAAAGTCCCCCGCACCCTTCTTGCTGTTGACAACTATAAAACAGGCATACCAAATGTTTTATGAGTTGACGCTCTGAGATTAGTAGTTTTCTTGCAGGTGTTTCATGACCCAACCAGTGGTGGGATTCAAATTTTTTACTACCGGTGCTGGGGGTGTGGCTTGGTGGCCGTGGCAGGGGAAGGATACTGTAAAATCTCCAGGCAGAGGGGGTCTTTGCCGGTTCTCTGAACTACTCAGAATTTCCACTACTGGTTCTCCAGAACAGGTCAGAGGCTGCTGAATGCCACCCCTGGACCCAACTAGGAAACATCATCAGTGCTAGAAGGGAAGTGAAGAAACCAATGCTAGAAGGGAGTGGAATTTGCAGGGAGGAGGAGGGGGGGGGGAGGAGGAGGGGGAGGGGGGGGGGGGAGGAGGAGGAGGAGGAGGAGGAGGAGGGGAGGAGGAGGAAGGCTATGGAGTCCTTGGTGGTTTCTGAACTGGGTAATTTTCTTGCAGACATTTCATGACCCAACTAGGAAACTTCCTTACTGTCGCCCATTCTGCACCCTTGCTGGGGTGTCCGCAGGAGTTGAGGGATTGTCAGAATGTTCCCAGTAAAAGAGAGACCCAGATACAGTTGCACTCTATGGCCTCCTTTTGAGACCCCTGCCCTGGTTCCCGCATCCTAGACGTGGTTTGAGGCCAGGAAGGTTGGACCAGGGTTGGACCATCTGGGCAGCAGATGTTCTCCAGCGACAAGCAACCCAAAGACAGACCATTGGGGTCCCATCAACTCACCTCTCCAAAACCGAGTGTGGTTTCGCCCTCGCTGTACATCAACCCCAACAGACTCGGGAGGGGAAATTGATTCTTACTCAGGACACCTGCAAAGGAGGAGGCAGCTGTTGGGTCCATCCCTTCTTTCCCATCCAGGATGTCTCTGGAGGCTTTCCATCATCCAGGTCATGGTTGTCCCAAGGGTGGTGGTTTGTTTGTTTGTTTTTCCAAAAGTCAACTGGACTTTCTAGATTTTGTTTCCTTGAAAACACTTTGCTTCTCACCCAAGAGTTTCAGTTCAGTTTCAGTTAAGTTTCAGTTCAGTCCAGTTCTTCTAGAACTGAAGAAGCTTCTTGGGGTGAGAAGCAAAATGTTTTCAAGGGAGGAAAAGCCAAGATGTCCAGTTTTCTCTTGGAAAAGGATTTTGGGGGATTCCCATCCAGGAGTTTTTGACTTCAAGCAAGTTATTCCTATCAATATTATAGCAGAGTTGGAGGAGATCTTGGTGGTCTGCTAGTCCAATTCCCTGCTCGAGAGGTGACCCTATACTACATCAGACAATTTGCTATCCAGTCTCTTCTTAAAATCCTCCACTTGAAGCACCAACAACTTCTGGGGGCAAGCAATTCCTGTCAGGGTTCCAGCAAACCCTCCATTCCAATCAGTAACTCTGAGACAAACATACCTCAAAAATACCTTTATTAGAATAGCACCTGGCACGTCTGTGGAATCCCAAAACTAAAAGTTTTTGGCAGTGGTGGGATTCAAATTTTTTAACAACCGGTTGTGTGGGCATGGCTTAGGTGGTGGGCGTGGATTGGTGGTCATGTAACTGGCTGGGCGTGGCCAACTCAATATCACTCACATCGAGGCACGCATCTCCTCACCTGGCCTCTCATGACTGTGGGGATGCTGCAACAGTCGTAAGCGTGAAAAATGGTCATAAGACACTTTCTTCAGTGCCATTGTAACTTTGAATGGTCCCTCCACACAAGCAAAGTATCAGGAAAGGAGAGAAAAAACTTCAGAGAAGTTCCTGAGACAGGAAGTCTAGTCCTGCCAAGAACGTAATAAGGGTTAGCGTAGAGGCAGTTTCTGTAAGCAACCCCAGAATGTTTCCTTCCTGCCTTCCTTACAGGATTAGCCCAGTAATTTCTTCTAACAACCGGTTCTCCGAACAGCTTAGAATGTTAACAACCGGTTCTAGGGAATAGGTCCGAACTGGTAGAATCCCACCCCTGTTTTTTGGGCTTTCCACAATTTCCCAAACTACAAATCCATCCTCCCGTGGTCATCATCACACCACATGGACCAATCACGATCCACCCAAGAGTAAGATCCTTTTTCCATCCTGCGCCACACTTACTAACCTTGAACTAACAAAAGAATTGTATTTTGTCTACTTAGAACTACTCAATTGAAATCATCCCCCTCCCAGTTTTTCAGGCTATGTGGCAGTGTGGAAGATGGCTTCCTAAGCTGACAGGCGTCCCCCCTCGAAAAGGTCACCTCCTAAAAGAGATAATCAACCAAATACAACCAGGGGTTAATGCGATGCCCTTAACCCCCTCTCCCCGCTCCAAGGGGACCCTTTGGTTTGTCAGGGAATTCGTCATGGAATTGTTTAACCAATCTACCTACATGTACATCCCAACTTTTTACCCAAGTCTCATGGGACAAAGGATAATCCTTCCATAACACCAGATATTATAACCTCCCTCGGTGTAATCTAGAATCGAGGATTTTCTTTATTTCATAATGTGTCTCCCCCTGTACGATTAAAGATTTGGGGGGAGCTGCTGGTATCGGCCTTAGATTCTATCCTACATCAGGTTTCAATAAACTATAGTACATGAAACATTGGGTGTATTTTCCCCGATAGCTGAGAGAGACTTAATCAAACTGTTACTGGATTGATTATTTCTGATATAGCGCATGGACCTAAAAATTTAGGCCCCAACTTCCTACTAGGAAGTTCCAATTTGAGATATTTAGTTGACAAAAAGACTTTGTCTCCTATTTTAAATGGTGGTTGGAGGGATCTAATTCTCACGCTGGTTTAATTCTCACAGTCAAGAAATTTGGGACCTTTTCTATCAATGGTTGGATGATAAAATATAATAATAGAATATTTAGAATGTTAGATAACAAGGAATATCTTTGCTTTTTCTTTTTCTTTGTTACTTGACATCATATCTATAAAGTGTTTTTAGGATAGATTTGGTATGATTATATCATTTGTTATAGAATAAACTACCTAAATTATAGTTATCTCAAAGTATGAATGAATAAAATTATAGTCAAATGATTTTCTAATAGTGATACTAGGATATATAAGTTTGGATTGATAATATGAGTTATTATGTCATGTAACTGTAATTGAGACTACAAAATGAATGCACAAAACTAATGAACCAACCGACACACTGTTTGTATATATGTGTGGAAGAGAGCTGGTGTTTTTATGTTTTGTTTGTTTTTAAAAAATCAATAAAATTGTTTTCCAAAAAAAAAAAAAAGACTTTGCCTCCTATTTTAAACGGTGGTTGGAGGGATCTAATTCTCACACTGGTTTAATTCTCACAGTCAAGAAATTTCTCCTGAATTCCCGCTTCTCTCCTTGATTAGTTTCCACCCATTGCTGCTTCTTCTATCTTCAGGTGCTTTGGAAAATAAGTTGACCCGCTCTTCTTTGGGGCAACTCCTCAGATATTGAAAGACTGCTATCATGTCCTCCCCGGTCCTTCTCTTTGTTAGACACTTGACATACCCAATTCCCGGAACCGTTCCTCGAGTATTTAAGCCTCTATCTCCCTAATCATCTTTTCTGCACTCTTTCTAGAGTCTTAACCACTTACCATTGGCATGTGGGATCCAACCATCCATGGTGGTTTTCATAAAATCTTTTGCTGATTCTACCTATAACAGCAAAAAAAAAAAATGTCAAAATTGGAGTAAGAGAACATCAGGAAATTTCATGGCAGGTGAAGCCAGAAGGGAAGTAGAGACTATGTCCCCTACCAAGAACATTATAAATATGTGACATTGAGCCCAAAGTGGACTTTAACTCAAAAGAGACGTCTACTCTTATTTACAAACAAGATGTATACAATCAATTGTATACAATGTATACAATCTAAAGTTAAAGAGATATAATTTGAATAAATAGAAGGAAAGGAAGTAATAAAGGGAAGTTCGGGATAAGATATGAAGATGAACAGATAAGGTAAATATATATATTAAATTGTGTTTGTATGGAAATGTGATAACTTGGAATAATTCTGTCTTTAAATAAGATGTTGTATTGGTTTTTTTAGAAAAAGATTTCTTATGTCATCATATTTTATGTTTTGTTTGTTTGTATATTGCTTTGTAAAATCAATAAAATTTGTTTTAAAAAAAAAGATCTCTGGATTCTATTGCACTAGACAGGCAATAAAAATGATAAAAGAGGAAGGAATAATCTGCTGGTATAAATGGAATGAACGGGATATTATTTTACTCCAAGCCAGGACCTGTTCTCATCCACAAAGCTCTTTGCAAATGTCTAATATTTCAAAGGGAAGCAAAATGGCCTCGTCATGAATGAAGGTAAATACAGGTGTCTCACAACACTATTGCAGGATCCAATCTGAGTCACTTGCCAGGACCCAAACGTTTATTCTTCCAAGATTTTGTGTAATGAACAAGAACATGCATTCAATTTCATAGCTATTACGATTGTTGGCTGAACAGGGACAAAAATAGCCAGAGAAATGATTGAAGCCTGGGAAACAAGCTCGTTTGTCAGTCAATAGGAATCCTGATTTATCACCCACCTTATCAGGTACTTAGGATCTGAGTGTGTGGGCAGCACAAGAAACAATTAATGACTTAATAGCAATCATCAACACCCTAATTAATAATTAAAAGCTACGCACAACCGGGAACCATATGTAGAACAAACCAGTGCAAACATTCTGGAGAGGGTGAAGTTCTTTGATGATGGATTCCAGCACGAGATCAAAAGCTTGGAAGAATAAACTTCTAATCCCAGTGACCAACTCAGACTAGATCCATCCCCAATTCAGGTTATTATTTCATCTCTCAGTCTTATCCCAAAAGCCCATCACCATTTTGGTGGATAACACTACTCTTAAATGTGTGACGCCCAGTATCTTAAAATAACTTCCGGCTTACGTTTCCAGCAGGGGAAGAAATCTCTGTTGACCTGTGAGAAGAAAGAGGAGAGAACATAATTACTTTCAGCATGTCCACCTTTGTTCCTTCATCTGTCAAGCTCAAAGCACATTCATGCTGTTGCAACCATTGTGGCTTTTCAACTTGCCAAAGGACTAGTGGGGAGGGAAGGGTGAGAAAGGAACGCAGGCTCCAGACTTCAAGGAAGAGAGCCGTGAGAGCCAAGGACACATCTGCAGGTGTCCGCCAAGGACCAGAGACTTTTTCTCATAACAGTACAATGACACTCAATTGGACAATGGGACCTGCACCAATCAGGGGGAGCGGGGATTCTATATTGTAACTATGTGGGTTTGCGCGGGAATTAGGCAGAGCTGGTTTTGCCTTCAAGGGTGCCAAAAGAATGTACTCGATAAAACATTGGCCGGTGTAGAGTGTGCTTGCTTTTAGTTAGGTTCATCAGTCAGGACGTTGACATTGTGATGGAAATTGACTTTTGAGGAGACCCCAAGGCCACTTCCTTCAGCTGGGGTCTTTAGAGCAAGAAGGTTTAGTACCAGAGGTGGCATTCATCAGGTTCTGACCAGTTCTGGAGAACCGGTAGCGGAAATTTTGAGTAGTTCGGAGAACCAGCAAATACCACCTCTGACTGGAGATTTTACAGTATCCTTCCCCAGCCACGCCCACTAAGCCACGCCCAGAGAACCGGTAGTAAAAAAAAAATTGAATCCCACCACTGTTTAGTACCTGCAAGATCCCGCTTTCAGAGTGATGGCCAGGTGTTCCTCTTTGATGGCAAAACTGGCATTGCATTCCTGCACCTACAGTTGAAACACAGAAAGAAGATAGAGATGGATAGACTATGGTGGAATTGCTGGCTTAAGGAGTGGGGGAAGATAAATAGAAGATAGATTCCAGCATGGAATCGCTCCATGGGGAAGACATCCTAGACTAGACCAGAACAGAACAGAACAGAATAGAACACAGAACAGGGATAAAAAAGAATAGAACAGAATATGAAATAATTAATAGAAATAGAATAAAAATAGATAGAAGGGAAGGAAAGCCAAGAGAGGAGAGGAGAGGAGAGGAGAGGAGAGGAGAGGAGAGGAGAGGAAAAGAGAAGAGAAGAGAAGAGAAGAGAAGAGAAGAGAAGAGAAGAGAA